TGCCCCCACAGCTGCTCCCCTGCAGCTGCAGTCACCACACAGGCATCCCTCGAGAGGCTGGTCACTCCAGGCCTGTGCCCTGACCTCATGGAGCCTCAACTGCCAAGAGCTCTGAACCCTGAAAGCGCTCCATGACCACAGTAGGGGAGGCACAGGTTTAAGTAATAGGATCCGGATTTCCACCATGATCCCTGTGGCCTTTGGCAACCTTTGAATGCAAAGGTTGTAGGTCTGGGGTAGGAGCTTGCCCTGGCTCTGTCCAATGTGTCCAGGGTGCATCGACTTTCACCAGCGGGGCAGAGGACCAGCACCAGGGTCTGGGAGTCATCTGTATGGTGCCAGGAGGCTTGGCTGTCATCCCCATGTCCCTGGCCTCATGGAGCTGGGAGGTGGCTGACCAGGGTGAGCATGTGGGGACACTGCACTCCGGACCACCTAGCGGCAGACACCTCTGTGCTCCCCTGCTTCCCAACCCCCGTGCTCAGTGTGGGGCTACCACCTAGGAGACCTTCTGCAAGGGACAGTGTCCACAAAGTCCTCACCTTGAGGTTCCTCACACACCACAGCTTCCAAGTTCTCCCCCTTCACGTAGTCTGCATTGAGACCCTCTGCAAAGGGCAAAGGGCAAGTTAGTGATGGACGCAGAACCAAAGGCTCCCAACATGATGGAGAACTGATTCAGTGGCTACCGCAGCTGAGAAAGCTCAACTCCTTAAACAAGCTCCAGCCCCAGCACCCTGGGCCACCTGAGCCCCCTTATCTGGATGAAACCTGTCTGCCTGGGAATGTGCTACAGGAGTTCCCATCACCCTCGGCTGCAGCACTACTGTGCATCAATGGCCCCTGGCGCCCGGTCTCCATAGAGAACATGTCAAAACAGCTCTGTCCGGCAGAGGCACTCAGTGGCAGGGCTCAGCACCAGCCCAGGGGACAAGAGGGGAGCCCAACCACATGAGCGATGGGTGCAGGGCAGGGCAAGTGGCTGAGTAGAACCCACTGGGAGACACCGGCAAAGCCTCCTGCTGACATACAGTCTTCCTAGCAACAGCCATGCAGAGAAGCCGGCTGGCCTCCCCGGCACAGAAGTAAGGCCGTCTGCACCAAGCTTGGGGCCAGAGCCCTCAGCAGCAGCTCAGGCTAGCTCCCAAGCTGGCTTTCTTCCCTGCTGGGGACTTGACACCCCTGCTGTCACTTGGGGAGTCAGGGGTCCACACTCATCCCTGGATCACCCAGGGACAGAAAACCTTCAGCCCTAGGCTTATGGGAAAATTGGCCACAGTTACAATGGACAGGCTGACCTGCCAGGCACAAGTCACTGCAGTCCTGGCTGCAGGTTCCTGGCCTAGACAGTGTTCCTGCCACCTGCCTGCCCCAGTGGCTGCTGGGCTCAAGGCGGAAGTCAGATGGGCCCATAAAACGCAGAGCAGTGTAGCCAGGCCCCATGTGGTGCAGGTCAGTGTAGGGTCTAGTGTAGGCTGGGAGGTGTGCCCCAATCCACCCAATCACTGGATGGCCACCAGAGGGCACCTGAGTCTCCACCACAACAGCCCCCCC